TCTGGCAGGGCGGTAAGCGCACTCGTAAAACGGAGGTCGTTGAGCGTCGTCTCAAGCTTGCCCTCGAGGAGCGCGCCATTGAACGCATGGAACGCAAAAAACGCAAGGCCGCCAAACTCGCCGCCGCCCAACAGGGCAAGCAGGTGATGTAGTCTTTCCTTCGTGGCACAACAGCGTGTAAATTAGTAGAAATTCGCCGCTTTCGCGGATGGCAGCTGCCTCCACCTTGCCGTGCATGTCGGACGACCAAGCGCACCGTGCGAGCGACTCCCGCGCGGGCACGCCGGTCGAGCTCTTGCGGAGCGCAGTTGCGCTCATGGATGGAACAGATTCACGCACAGCTCGCGGCATCGATGTAGAGCATACCATCCCCAGTGCGGCGCAACCGCGCCGCTCGTTTAGCAAAACGTACGTGAATGAGTTGGTTTGCTCACGCAGCACGGTGATGGCCGAGGCGGGGCGACAGCCCTGGTACGACCAGGACGGACATCCGATCTCCCCTTACATTGTTGGAGTCGCGGGTGGCAGTGCGAGTGGCAAGACGTCGATCGCGAAAGAGATTTTGCGGCACCTACCCAACGTGCCCTGGGTCGCGATCGTGTCGCAGGACGCCTTCTATCGCCCGCTAAGCCCCACCGAGACCAAGCTCGCGTTTGAGCAAAACTTTGACTTTGATCACCCCAATGCCATCGACCAGGAGCTGCTCGTGCAATGCATTCGCGATCTGAAGGCGTCGCGTGCCGTCCACATCCCCGTGTACAGTTTCACCCAGCACCAGCGTACGGATGAGACGACCTATCTTTATGGACACGCGGTGATCGTCGTCGAGGGCCTCTTTGTGCTACAGGACAAGGCACTTGTTGACCTGCTTGACCTCAAAATTTTTGTGCAGACCGACCCTGACGTGATGCTTGCACGCCGCATCCGCCGCGACATAGTCGATCGCGGCCGGTCAATCGACGGCGTGCTCGAGCAATACTTCCGGTTTGTCAAACCGTCGTTTGATACGTTTGGTACGTACGCAGGCTAACCCAGTCGGACCGACCGCACGATATGCGGATATCATTGTGCCAGGCGCGAACAACGCGGTCGCGATCGACGTGATTGCACAGCACATTGCCAGGCAGCTCACGCGCAATTATGCCTGCCAACTGAACGAGTCCATACCACGCGCTATGTCGGCATCGCAGCCGCACGGCTTCCCCACATCGCGCTTGGTCGTTGGGACGTCGGAGCAGGGCTCGCCGATGCACGCAATCGAGCGTGCGCCCTTTCACGATCCTATCACGCCTACACACATCGAGGCACCGATTGCAATGCGCGATGCCAAGCAGGTCGCGCCGCTGCCTTCTAACGTGCTCGTGGTACCCCAAACGGCGCAGCTGGTCGGCCTGCTTACGCTCCTACACAACGCCGACACGGGCTCGGGCGAGTTTGTGTACGCATGCAAGCGCATCGGTGCACACGTCGTCGAGACCGCTATGTCACTCCTGCCCTACCGCTCGTGCGAGGTGCCATTGCACACCGGCGGCACCTACACGGGCGTGGAGCTGGACGCGCAGTACATCTGCGGCGTCTCTATCCTGCGTTCGGGCGCGATTCTCGAGGCACCGCTCCGGCGCGCCCTGCCTGCAATCGCGCTTGGCTCTCTGCTTATCCAGAGCTCCGATACCAACTACCGACCACTGCTCTATTCAGTGTCGTTGCCGTCGTTTGTGAAACAACGGGACACGGCGCAGCATACCTATGTATTCCTGACCGAGGCCCAGATCGGAACGGGCGCCGCCGCCTTTATGGCAGTACGTGTGTTACTCGACCACGGCGTTCCCGAACACCAGATCATTGTCCTGACGCTCTTGGCATCGGCCAAGAGCGGCGTATGGGCACTGCAGCATGCCTTCCCCGGTGTGCGCATCGTCGCGGGCGGCGTGGATCCAGGCCTGCAAAAATTTGTGTGGTCCACAGCGCAGCGACGTGCGCACGCGCGCGCACGCGCCACGGCGTCGGCCGCGGACAGCGAGAGCGATACCGAGGAGACGGTTGCCAAGCGCGTCGTCTTTGCGATCACGCCCGGCTGCGGTCAAATGGGCGACCGATACTGGGGCACCTGACCAATGGGCTTTCCCTCTGGCGCCAGTGTACGCCTCGTGATTGGTGCGTACCAACCCACTGCCTGCGTGGGCCCAACGGGCGGAGTCGGCGTGCAGCGCCGCTCGCATCGACCGTCGTCGACGGTGTGTGGGCAACTCGTTTGGTTGTCGATCGTAGAGAGCTGTTACGGTACGGTGCTGGTGTATAACGGGTGCAGTTTACCCACATACGCACCTCATAACAACCGCCACCATGTTTCGCTCGTTCGGGAAGATGATGAGCGGCGTGTCGAAGCGGGGTAAAGGCCGTGGCAGCGACGAGCGGGGTACTGAGGACGTCCTCGATGCGTCCAGCACGCGCTCGCGCGACTCCTTCACTTCCGCACGACAGGCCGACAACTCTTCCGAAATAAACAACGCTGAGGTCACTCCTCCGCCGCCCAGTGACTCGCCCATATTGACGCGCAGCGCCAGCAAAAGCCATGCACGCCCCAGCGGCCACTCGTCTACCGATGCCAACGACGTGCCGAGCCTCAAGCCCCGGGACGTGCCGACACGCAGTGAGGGTGCGCAGCCCATGCTCGCCGTCCCATCCGGATCGTCGAGCAAGGCGGGCGCCCACCACCCGGTACGTTCGCCAGATCCTCGTGGCACGAGCGGCAGCGGCAGTAACGGCGGCATCCCAGTCGCATGGGGACCCACCTCGCCTCAGTCTAACTCGTACACGGGCGCGTCGCCCATGTCCACGAGCGTGCAGAGCGCCGATGGCGTCAAGACGTTTGACATTGACGACATGATTACCCGCCTGCTCGAGGCCGGCTACTCGAGCAAGATGCCCAAGCCTGCGCTCAAGGTTCCAGAGATCATGGCCGTGTGCCAGGCGGCACGCGAGGTCTTCCTGAGCCAGCCCACGCTGATCGAGTTGAGCCCACCCGTGAAGATTGTGGGCGACACACACGGGCAGTACCAGGATGTGCTACGCCTGTTTGACATGTGCGGCTTCCCGCCCGCGTCCAACTACCTATTCCTGGGCGACTACGTGGATCGCGGCAAACAGTCGCTCGAGACCATTTTGCTACTCTTATGCTACAAAATCAAGTACCCCGAAAACTTCTTCCTTCTGCGGGGCAACCACGAATGCGCGAATGTGACACGCGTCTACGGCTTCTATGACGAATGCAAGCGGCGGCTTAATATCCGGATTTGGAAGACATTTATTGACGTCTTCAACACACTGCCGATCGCGGCCATCGTCGCCTCCAAGATTTTCTGTGTACACGGCGGTTTGTCTCCGTCGCTATCCAACATGGATGATATCCGGCGGATTGAGCGGCCCACGGGCGTGCCTGATTATGGGTTGCTCAACGACCTGCTCTGGAGCGATCCAAGCGACACCGCACTAGACTGGGAGGACAACGAACGCGGTGTAAGCTACTGCTTCGGCAAGGTTGTCATCCAGCAGTTCCTCGCCCAGTACGACTTCGACCTGATCTGCCGGGCCCATATGGTCGTGGAGGATGGTTACGAGTTCTGGAACGAGCGGACGCTAGTAACGGTGTTCAGTGCGCCCAACTACTGTGGCGAGTTTGACAATTTCGGCGCAGTGATGAGCGTGTCGGAAGATTTGCTGTGTGCCTTCGAGCTACTCAAGCCACTTGATGGCCCGGCACTGAAAAAAGAAATGGCGAGGAACAAGCGCAAGAATCTGCAGCAGCAGCAGCAGCAGCAGCAGCAGCAGATGCCTCAACAGCAGGCGCAGCAGTCACAGCAAACACCCCCGCCCTAGATGTTGACCAAAAGGGGCCAAGTGTACGGCGAAGATCAACGTTGTATAGATTCTTAGCATACGAATTTACGACTGACGCGCACGACCGATCCTCCGTCTTAGCTAAGCATCGAATGCACACGGACCAACCGTTCACCATGGCCGATCCGGCTTCGACGCTGGCCGTGGATGTGCAAAACCTAAGCTACCAATTTGGGTCCCAGGCTGCGAATGCACTGGAAGGATGTACATTACGTTTGCAGCCTGGTGCACGATGCTTGCTAATCGGTGCCAATGGTGCGGGGAAAAGCACCCTACTACGGCTCTTGGCAGGAAAACGGCTCGCAGATGCCAACATCAAGGTGTTCGGACAGGATGTGTTCCGATCGCCCCCACGCGGCATAACCTACTTGGGTACCGAGTGGGCGATGAATCCGGTAGTACGCAGCGACATCACGGTCGCCTACTTCCTGGATTCCGTCGGCGGCTTCCGCCATGCCGAGCGTCGCGACCGCTTGCTCGACTTACTCGACGTGGATCTTTCGTGGCGGATGCATGCCATCAGTGATGGAGAGCGTCGACGTGTACAACTTTGCATGGGACTGATGGAGCCGTACCGGTTGCTGCTCCTCGACGAAGTCACCGTCGACCTCGACGTGCAGGTGCGCTGTGACTTGCTCGACTTTTTAAAGGAAGAAAGCGAACAGCGCGGCGCAACCATTGTCTATGCAACACACATCTTCGATGGCATACATCAATTTCCTACCGACATCGTGCATATCCAGTTGGGGCGTACGGTATCGGATGTGCCTCTTCCATGGCCCATCCTCCCCACGCCGGCGCTCCCCGAGACGGTGTATGCAGTGCTTCCTCACACCCTGCGCGAGAGCATCGCCGCGGGCCACGCGCCGACGCACGAACTCTCCTTACTGGATCTTGCTCTGGCATGGTTACGTGAAGACCGGGTTTTACGCGAACAACAAGAGCGTTCTCGCGGAATCAAGCGTGGCCGTGCACTGCAGGGGCCAGATGAGGAAACAACGGATGCCAAAAAGTTCTTCCGGCAATACGACTACTATTCGAACTACACACGATAGTGTACGTAGGGTCATAAGCCGACTCCCGGACTCGAGTGGCAACGACTTGGCTGAGTGGCGCAACGGTAGCGCGTCTGATTCCAGCATGTTGGAATACAATGTCCTGCAGGGGAGTCTCCAGAAGGTTATCCGTTCGAATCGGGTCTCGGTCATACTTTTGGTCCGCTTTTCGCGGCCCAATTTTTTTTTGGACCCTCCACTGCCCACGTGGATCGGTGGAATTTTGTCGCAGCTCTTTGACGCACGATTATGGCGGGTGGGAAAGACCGCCGCAAAGGCGGCAAGCATTCCGCGGAAGCACTCAAAGTGCAGTCAGACAGCATTGCCAAATCGACTCGTTTGCCTGTGTCGCTGCAACAGTCGACGCCGGAAGACACGCTGGGCATGAAGCCGCCCAAGTCGTTCTCCAACATAAAGGACAAGAAACTGCGCTCAGACCTGTCGAAGCAATATATCTCGCGCAAACGTGCTGAAAGGCATGCAGAACTTGCGGATGAGTACCTTCATGGTGCTATTCCTGGCGAAGAAGCAGGGATGATCGAGCCAGAGAACGAAATGGAGCGAACGGCGCGTGTGACCCAGGCTCAGATCCAGAGCGAGGTGGGCGTGGAGACTGCACGCAAAAGCTTTGAGCTGCACCTGGGTGGTGGGCGTGGTGGTATACCGAGCCTAGGCCCCTACCGTTTGGACTATACGCGCAACGGTCGGCATCTGTTGCTTGGTGGCCGGAAAGGTCACTTGGCTGCGTTTGACTGGCAGTCGGGCAAGCTCTCGTGTGAGATCCAGGTGCGGGAGACGGTGCGGGACGTATGCTGGCTGCACGACCAGTCTTTCTTTGCTGCGGCACAGAAGAAGTACACGTATATCTACGACCAAAATGGCCTAGAGATTCACCGGCTCAAGGACCACATCGAGGTGAACCGCCTGCAGTTTTTGCCGTACCACTTTTTGCTGACATCAATTGGCAAAGCGGGCTACCTGAAGTACCAGGACACGTCGACGGGCCAGCTGGTTGCGTCGCATCGCACGGGCCTAGGCTCATGCGCGACCATGGCGCAAAATCCGCTCACGGCGGTGATTCACCTGGGCCACGCCAACGGCACTGTGACGCTCTGGACGCCGAACCTGTCCACGCCTGCGATGAAGATGCTCGCGCACCGCGGCCCCGTGTCTGGCATTGCGATCAACGCGCACGAGGGCGGGCGCGAGATGGTCACGGCCGGCCTTGATGGGCACGTCAAGGTGTGGGACATGCGTATGCTTGGCAAAGGCCCGCGGCGCGAATGGATTACGCGCCGCCCGCCGAGCGATGTGGCGTACTCGCAGCGCGGCCTGCTCGGCGTTGCGTGGGGCTCGCACGTGAGTGTGTACCATACCCAGGCGCCGCTCGGTGCGGCGCCACCCGGCCCATACTTGACGCAAAACTTTGCACAAGAGGTGCCATTATCGCTGCGCTTTTGTCCATACGAGGATGTGCTGGGCGTGGGCCGCGCATCTGGCTTCAGCAGCTTGCTGGTGCCTGGCAGTGGTGAGCCGACGTTTGACTCGAGCGAGGCGGATCCGTTCGAGACTAAGGCGCGCCGCCGCGAGCGCGAGGTGCGCAGCCTGCTCGACAAGATCCAGCCGGAGATGATTACGGTGGACCCGACGCTGGTCGGCCAGCTAGACACGCGGGCGTCGCGTGCGGATCAGCCTGTCGTGGCGTCCGCTGGCGGTGCAGGTGTGCCGCGCGCGGCTGATGGCACACCATATGCCCGTCTGACACGGGCGCAGCGACTGCAGCTCGACGAGGCACTGGAGACCGAGGCGGACACCGACCTAGGTGCGGATGAGGCACCTGCGGTTCCGCGCAAGGGTGTGCAGCGCGAAAAGAACAAGGCGCGCGGGCGCAATTCGTCGATGAAAAAGTATCTGCGCAAGAAGCGCCAAAATGTTGTGGACGCCAACACGACGGCGCTCCGCGAAAAGTACCGCCGCGAGAAGGAGCGTGCGCGGCACGCGCGGCACGGTACGACGCCTGCGCACCACGAGCCGTCGGCGCTCGACGTGTTTGCCAACGTGCGTGGCCCGCGCAAGTAGGAATGTGCGAATTCGTCTTGTCTACTAGATTACAACCAAGTTACCCACAGCACAATAAACAGGGCAAGGTACAGCGCGACCAGCGTCTTGACAATCGGTCCAGTGAGCGGAAGTGTGCGCCGCTGGACGTTGCGCAACGCCTCGAGCTCGGCATCGGTGAGGTTGGTGCGCCCGCGCTGCTCTACGACGCGTTCGTAGCCGCGCACAGGCGCGTCCATTGCATCCCACCACGTCTTGTTCGATGCGTACTGCTGCGCACGCTGGCCCATGGTAGCCCGCAGCGTGCGGTCGCGGATCAGGCGCTCGAGAAGGATGCTGTACGCCTGCGCACACGGCTGGAAGGACGCGGCGCTCGGCGACATAGTCGCCGCAAACTCCTTCACACTCGGGATCGGCGTCGGCAGGCCAGGCTTGAGCGAGCTGGATGCGGCGTGCGGCACAGCGGCCTGCGTCGTATGCAGCGACTGCGACGCGTCGCGCGCCGGCAGCGCCCCAAAGCCGCAGTCGCTACGCTGCGGCGACGCCGGCGGCGACGCGCGTGCCGCGGCTGCCGACGCGTGAGCAGAGACGGACGCATTCGCTACGACGCGCTGCACGTCGAGCAGTAGGCCGGTCGTGCCGTGACACACGAGGTCCGACGTGCCTTCGGCGTGCAGGCCGACGACGGGCAAACCAGACGCGAGCGCCTCGAGCACGACCTGCCCAAAGGTCTCGGTAAACGACGGGAAGGCAAAGATGCTGCTGCTTGCAAACATGGACGCGAGGCGCTTGCCCTTCTGGTGCCCCATGAAGGCGGCATCCAGGCCGTAGCGCGTGCACAGCCGCGTGAGCTCGCCACGCGCTGGCCCATCGCCAACGATGACGAGCTTGGCATTGTCGCGTACGCCCGTGGGCAGCAGACGGAACGCTTCAATCAGCAGCCTGATGTTCTTTTCCCAACTGATGCGACCGACGTACAGCACGACGGCCTTGCTGTTAGCGTCCTGTGCAGCGCTGCGTGGGTCGGCGCTCGCCACGACGGGGGGCGGCAGAGCAAAAGGCATCGTGATTGGCGGAAGGTCGCTTAGGCTCTCGTATGCCGGCGGCGGGCTAAGGTAGGGCGACAAGGCGGGGAGGCTCTCGGGCGTGTGAATAAATGTATCGCCCTCCTCGAGCTTGCGGCTCGCCGCCTGGTCGTGCAACGTGTTGAGCAGCGCTTGGCTCTTGGGTTTGCAGTCCCAACTCGCTCGCAGGTTCTCGTCGCGCGCACCGGGGTTGAACAGGTGCGTGTCCACACCGCGGCTCCAGATCTCCACGTTGCGGAAACCCTTGTCGAGAAGCATGCGGCGCGTCGACTCGCTCGGGCAAAACACAATGTCACATTGGTCGTGCTGCGCGCGAATCATCTTCCACATAATATTCTCGATGAATGGCAGACCGAACAACGACGCGTACGTCGGCAGGTTGGTGTGGTACGATGACACGCATGGCACGTCGGGCAGGATCCTTTTGACGACCCACATCATCTGCACACCGAGCCAGATCGGATCAACAAAGTGCACCACATCCGGGCGGAACTGCTGCAGGCGCCTGATGAAGCGCAGGCGCAAAAAGTTGAGCTTCAGGCCGGGGTACACGAGCAGCGGGATGCCAAACGTGCCGACCACGGGGTGACCCGAGTACTCGGTGAGGCCCGTATCCGGGCCCAGCACAAGTGCCTCATTTCCCTCGGCATGCAGGTGCTCCAGTAGGCGCGCAAGCGTACGCGTCACTCCATCAATCTTCGGCAGGAAGTTTTCTGGGTGTCAGCGAGCGAGCGAGCGCACCTGTTACGATTGCAACACGCAGCTTACGCCGCTTGCGGTCCGTCGGATAGGGATAGGATACCGCCTGGAGGGCGACGTCCTTCTCAGAATGCATCGTGGTGGGACTGAGCGAGCAAGCACCTCGTCAACTGAAACCCAGGTGCAATCAGGCAACACCGTGCCCCAAACGCCGTGCGAGTGCGAACGTGCGTGAATTAAATCAGCCGTACCACAGCACGTGGGGGGTCGCACGTTCCCGTGGCCCCGGCGCCTCGCGCGCGTCCCTCCACCCCCGATGGATTTTACGGAGGCGTACGCTCATGCGGGGAGCGAGACGGTGCGCTTCTCGCCGGGGTCGACGTTCCTCGCATACGTTGACGGCGCGCACAACAGCGAGGTAGTGGTGCGCGTCACGGGTACACTTCAGGTCGTGCGCTCCTGGTCGCTCGCGTCCGCCCTCCAATCGCTCGCATGGTCGCCCGATGGCCTATTTTTGCTCGTGAGCGCGTACGGAAGACAGGGCGTGTCGTTCGTCTTGCCTCTTGACCCAGACGCAAGCGTCACTGATGGGTCTGATGACAACCAGGGATGGGTCGCGCGCATTGCAGGGGGGGTTGCTGGTGTCGAGCACGCACAGTGGGTACCTGTCTGGCGCGTGCCTTCAGTAATGCAATTCACGCGCGACACCGGCGCTGTTTGCTACTCGCTTGCCGACCAGGCATTTACGGCATTTCCACACACGTTGCTTCCCAAATGTGCGTATCGGCTCACTTACGCAGTGTTTCCGCATTCCTCTCCGGAAGTCTTCTGCCTAGTCCAGCGCGAACGAACGCACGCAGCCCTCGCACTTTATACGCCGGCATCTTCCGAAGCACCATCCATGGATGAGCCAGTGACATGGAACCTGCTCAAGGTACGTGAGACGCTGATACAGGCCATCACGCTGCACACCACTGAGCCTATGGGTGTCGCTTGGAGCCCGGATGGCAAGGTCGTCGCTGTGTGGGACTACGAGCTTGAGTACCGCGTATGCCTATACTCGCTCGCAGGTACACACCTTGCAACACTCTCCATCGATGCTGACACCGATCGCCCCGCATCCGAGATCGCCATCACGCCCGACGAGGCACGTGCTGTGCTCGCCGAGCGTCCGCTCAGCGCCAGCCGTGCACGGCGAACTCCCATGCGCGCCTCGCGGACAAGTTCGTCGTGGCAGACGGCAAGTACATTACGGCGTACTAGCCACGCACTCTCCGCGCGCATTGCCGGTGGGGGTCTAGGCGTGCGCA